GAAATGAATGAATACAATTCACAGTTCATTTGTCTACAATAATTACAAACGAATGATTTATTTTGTATAACTGTTAATAAGCGCCTTCATTTAAGTGAACAGATAAAATCAGGAGAAGATACTTTAAACTAGGTTTATTCCTTTTTCTAGCAAAAGAATGAATACCTATAAAGATTATCAATATCATCCATAAAAGACTGAAAGAAATAAAAACTGTCCTGTATCATGTGATGGAATCATTATTGAGGAAGATTCAAAAAGGGATAGAAGTAGAACAGAAGAACTTTTTTTATCACATGCATATACACCTAATTCACCTCTGTTTCTGATTATATTTCTTCCATCGTTTTTGTAATAAATAAGAAGCAAGACTATTGGGGATACATAGAAGTGAAATAGGTAGGAAAGAAAGAAGAGAAAGATGGGTAGGATAATAAAGAAGTTTTTGGTAGACACAAAAATAAGGTAAGAATAGATAAATCTGTAGGAAGCAAAGAAAAACTTCACAGATATTGATTTAACGAATAATACATAAACAGGTTGTAAACTCCTATGACAGCTGATACATGAATGTATGCATTTCTTCGTTTATCTGCATTATATGTGTGTGTCTGTGTGCTGAATTAAGCGAAGCGCTGAAGTAATTTCCATCCACTTATGTAAGTCTCCAAGATCAGTTAGATTTAGACTACTTTTATTCAAAACTGATGTAATTTAATATGTATTGATAAAGAAGTAAAAGGGATTTTATCTAAAATCATCTTTGTTTTTGTGTGTCAAAGAAGTATAAGACAGCTAAATTAAATAGAAAAATTTTGAATAGGGGTGTTAGGATCTGTGGTGGTCGTAGTAGTCCTGAAGACAGTTCATCTTTTGTGTATTCATTCACATATATCTGTAATCAGTAGGTGGATAGATAGGTAACTGTGTAGATACTTGGTAGATGAAAGAATAATGAAATATACACACATAACTACACACTATGGCACCTACCATAAGAGACCACCATATGACAGTAGTTTCTTCATATAAGAATAGCATGTGACCACTGTGGTAGCGTATAATTGCGTCATCATAGAGTAAATTTATTGCATAAAAATTAACACAATGATACACATTATCATCGGCTGATAAGGTTTCCAGCACAATTTCCTTACTCATAATCAAATCAAGGTGCTGACATCGCTTTCGAGCTTTGTTTATATATAGTTCATTGTTTCTCAGGGTTTTCATTTTATCAGTAATAATATTTTCCATATCTCCGGTATTGCTAATAGGTGATTCCTACAGAATATGTTAAGTGTAGATTCAATGAACAAAGATTAGGCAGTCCGCATTATTCTTTCCATCCACTCATATTAATTTTTAGAGTTATAACTTTATCCCATCCAAGTGTGTGACTCTGTGTTACAACATACATTGAGATTTCTGAGTTTTTCACCATAATATTGATCGTCGTGGAGTAAGTGACGATGCGCTCAACTAAATTCTAATGATTCGATGACTTGACTTCCCCGATCTACTGCTTTGACCAACGCAGTCGGACTCACCGTCAGTGCAGTGTATTTTGTAAATTACATTGTTTTGGTTACAGGATTTCATCAAGAACTTACACCGAATGAAGAGCCATTGGAAAACCAGCTGGTAATACTGGACAGCCAGATGTTTCATCCTAATTTGGCACCCTTTAACAGTACGCACTCACCGCCAGGGTTCGAATCCAGGACATTCTGGTCACAAGGCGAGCTCGCGGGCAATTAGGATACTGGCACCTGATACAATGGCCTATGAATTTCAACTTCTGCCAACTGGTAAAATAGAGCAGCTGCTAGCCATTATCTTTGGCGAGTATTTGTCCTCACGCCGTACCTGTTATACTCTACCAGTCACGAATTTCCACTGGAAGCCAAGGTAACTGCCTACCTGAATAGGCGTGAGGACAATTACATCGTCTAGTTGTCATGCTATGTCATGAATTGGCATAAGTTGGAATTTATGGGTCGTTGAATCATGTCCCAGTGGCCTAACTCTCCGTGTAACCAGAAGATTCTGGGTTTGAGCCTCAGTGGGTTTGCACTGCTGAAGAGTCCCGAACTAGGATGAAACAACTGGTTGTCCAGTACTCCCAGGTTTTCCAGTGGTTCTCTAACCGATGCTTGTTCATGATGGAATCCTATAACCAGCCAATAAAATCCGTACAAACCATTACTTGCATTACATTGTTTTGTTTGTCTAGGTTGATAGGGTCTTTTGTCTTACAGTTTCTAAGTTAAAATGCCAATTGAATTTCAGTTTCACTGAGAATCCTTCTTAGGGTTTCTGATATCTGTTCCTTCTTTTCTTATAAACTTTTTTAATTTTCTAGATGAAATTTACTGAGTAGTTATTTAGGGCCATCGATGCTTCTATCCGTTTCATTTCATTATTTAACTGGAATTATCTTTCGGTATATTAGACAATTAACTAAGATAATAGATGAGATGAACTGACGTCTAAATATCTATTAGAGTACATTGTCTTTTCTAAACACTAGTGCACATTTCACCTTCTTCAGTTCATTTTACTTTACAATCTAACATAGTTAATTTTCTTTGTTCATTTTCTGATTCAAATGGTAATTTTATTTTTTCTACATTTGAGTTTATATATGTGTGTTTTTAAAACTGCGAAACTATCATCCACACATCTCTATTACACCATCGATTACACAATAAATTAAAAGTCCTTCATTAATGCAAGAGCTCTTATCCTATTCACCATCATTAATCTTGTCTTTGTAGTTTCACAAAGCACTATTTTAAAAACAAAAAACGATTCGATGTATAAAATTGCATTGAGCTTAGTTGTCGAAATACTCAACCTAATTGAATTAATTTTGATGAATCCAAGGTTGATAAAAGCTTTATTTACAATAACGGAAGTAATTGGTAACTCAGGATGTTGTTAAGTACCCTTTTAGCATTTCACTAAGGTTGTTAAATCCCCAGGTTCAAGAAGAATCTAATATGAAATTATATTCTACCATACTCCTCAAATCCTACTGTACGAGTTCCAGAGGTTTTCGAATAGGAAGGAACATCTAAGAAGTAGCAGAAATTCATAAGTAAGTCTGGGCATGAAAATCGCCTTATATTCTCCTAGCCTTAAGAAGAATTGGAACTAATGCAGAAGATTCCACAGCTCGAAGAACGTAAAACCAATTTCCTGGAGCACACTTCCTGACAGTTATGCAAATATTAAGGTATAGGTTTATTCATGAATTGATCATACTGGTTTCGGATGACTGCAAAACGCTAAATCATCAAAATTCACTCTGAGATAACGACTTAATCTTAGCATGTTTCAGACAATTTATGAAACATTTCTCTAGTTGCATTTAATATAGATGGATATTTTAGACAAATTAATTCATTTCTGACCTAATTTGTCCAAAATTCAATTATCATTTACACCTAATTTTCATGATTTTTGAGAGTTTAAGGCTTAACTGAAAACGTTGGCAGTCATTGTTTTATTCTTTTTAAACTGAGATAAAAACTAGTCAGAAATCCCCTGATGACTGGTCAGTATTTTTCTCATCGGAGTAGTACCATCTCTCTCTGACTGCACCACTGGATGACAAGATTTCAAGTTCTCAACGTGGTGTCTTTCCTTTCTAGGTTCACTTATTATTACTATTGCTATTATTACTCCGTGAAGTTTCGAGCAGGACATAAAGCTTCAAATATCCACCACTGTTTGTAGTCGTTTGTTGAATTCCGCCTTCCTCTTTTGTTCTAAGTTGTTTGTGGGCATATAGCACTAAATAAATGTAACTTTCCTTCCTTTTTAATTAAGTCTTGCTGTTATCGTTCTGAAGGAGACTGGTTTCCAATCCACAAGAGTGTTGGATGGTGTTGGTGGCATAATGATAGCCGCTCCTTAAGTGTGCTCGTGGTTGTCATTTCTAGTCGGCTGGCATAGATTACTCATTTTCAAGTTAACAATTTGGGCAGCCCATTTCCATTCCATCTGCCTTCAGGGATTCCTATCAGTTCTCCACCGTATTTTTCAAACTATTTGACGATCTGAGCAGCCTTTGCAACTTCAAACATTGTGCTAACATACCATTTCTAGATGCATAGTTTTTCTTTCATCAACAGAAGAGGACAAAACGACAGACTGGTTTTTCAAAGACTCACGATCACACGTCATTCTGTCTCTGGGATTCCAATGAAGAATCAGAATTTTCTCTAGTCTTCCGGTGTGCTGAAGCATCTGGATTGATTTTCTGGGATATGGCCCCCAGTCCCACCCTGAAAGTGGATTTCAGGATTATTGGCACTCTTCAGAAAGTTATGTCTGCAGTGTCAATGATATTGATGTAACCTCTGACATTCAATTTGGCACTATATAATATTATAGTTGCAATGCTTACTTCTGGGTTATTAAGAAGATATCTAATCTGAAATGGGATTGTAATAGGACTAAACAGTATCAAGCATCAATGTGTCCTTGATGTTAACTAAATTCTGCTGAATGTCTCCAACCGTCCAGCGTTAACTCAAATTGGCCTGAAACGGTAAAACTCTCACAGATGATGGTCAAACTTCAGCACTCACCAATACACTTAGTTTCTGAAGTAAGTATAGACTAGCCAGCACAAACGTTGTCACTCGTCAGTGTTAATCAATGAATCTGTAAGTGAAGATACTCTTTTATTAATTGGAAGGCGTTGGTTTTCAGTGATTATAATGATTTCAAGAGTGATAAAGAAATGACTTCATTTGAGAAAGTATTAAAATTAAAAGAGTAATGGACAGCTGGGTACGATGCCTAGTTGCTTCATAGATGTCCACCGCTTAAGTATCCCTAACAAAGAAGAAACAAATGTCTAATGCTTTTTGGTGTTTCAGTGATCTTTCCTAATTCTATTGTAAATTTAAGTCTACCCTTATGACGAAATTTCGTCTGTCTTAGTTCATCACTAATTTTGCATGTAAACTGTTCCTACTTTTCAGGTCTTTTCACTAACATGGAAACACGTAATTACATGATTTTGGTAAGTGAAAGCCGAGAGGATTTGTTGCACTCCATCTTTTTCTTGTGTACGCATGCATGTATGCATAATCCTTCATTACTAATTGTGACTGGTCAAATTTGGACTTTTCAAACAAATGATTGATTGGTAAACAAAGAATATTCTTTTCGATAACTTCTTCATAAGGTTACACAGTTATTTATCCTTAAATTAATAATCCTCATTCAGACATAAAAAAATAAATAATTCAGAGAATTAAATTCTCTATTCGACGATCTCATTTTCATAACTGTACAACCGTATAAGATTATGAGTCACAATCGTCGGTGGCACAGTTGTAAGGACTCCCGCCGACCATGCAGATGGTCCAGGATTCGATCCCCTGCCGACGCACACCTGATATCTATAATTGGCCTGCAAAATTTGGGCTACCAATATCAAATGCTGAAAATTCTTTACCTGTACCAAAAATACGGCGTGGAATCAATCTGAAATAAAAAAAGATAAATGAGTGAATAAGTAAATAGATAGATAGAAGTCAAGATAAAGTTCGATAGACATGTGTGTTTTTGATGTGGTTGTGTTCTCTGAGCTGGATAGTTATTTTGTGAAGCTTTCATCACCCTACTAGGCGACATCTTCAGCGCATACTTCAATTCTTTGAAGTGAGCTTTTAGATCTCTCCACGAGTTTATTAAATCATCTCTCCTGGTGACTTTGAATGTGATTGATTGTTTTTGTGTGTTTTGTAACCCAGAAGGTGATTATGAGGAATAAATTGTGCTCGAAACGTCATCAGTAAACATTACTGTATAACACTGCGAGACTTTATCAAAACAAAATTTACCCATAATGGAATTACACTCTACCACAGTGCACAAGTTTTATTCTTATATTTAAAACATTATTGTTGACAGGTAAAATAATTCTTTAACCATCACATCTGGATAGATGTATAAGAATGTAAGCTAGTGAAGAAGTTAACGAATAGGATATCCTTTGTTCACCCGTCTACCTTTTGAAATTTATGATGATCATCTTTAAAGTAAATTTCAAACATACTCAATCAGAAAACCATTGTTTGGGACTTATCAGCCGAATGCACCTTTGATTCTATCAGGGATAGAACTCATGAACTTCACATTAGAAGTTAATAGCACTTTAACTGGTGCTGACTCATGATGGAATTTAAAACGAAATCAATGAGAATTCATACAAATTCAAAATATGGATGTAACAAAAGGTGATAGATAATGTTCATAAATCATAAAGTAGGTCTTTGAACACCTGACGGATTTAATGAAAATCCCCATCAAAAACTGAAATGATTCCTTAAAAAGCTATTCAGTATTGTGAAAACCCTAAATACTTGTGCCTTCCTTGTCAGGAGGTTCTTAACAGTGCCTTATCCCACCACATTCTCACTTCTATATTTGAAACTTTGATTTGAATAGATGCACTGGAATCTAGTTATTGAGTGATGTGATACAACTATCTTTCATTTTGCATGGTGAAGCCATATTTTCATCCTAGAATGGATCGACTACATACACCACCAATTATCATTGTAGCTCATATAAGTTTATCTTAAAGTTCTATATCATCAGAAGAACAGCTCTAGAGAGTGTTTTAATTCTGACGCAGTCCTTGAAAAGTAACATATATTGTAGCGTAGCAATTTTTCGGCCGGATGAAGTGCTGAGTCTTAAGTCCATGTAGTCGTAGAGTCCCCAATAGAAATAAACAGCTATCCATTGTTTCATGGTTTTCAGTGGTTATCTCTCTGTTATCTAACTTTCATTCCCAAGAAGCTGACAAATTAACAGAGAAACACCAATAAGTTTTATATTGATTGGGAAGCTAACCTTCTGATAAACAGTATCATCTGTTTCTAAGAGTTATTTTGAATAAATGTAATTTGTTTTAATTTGAGCCCCAAATTTATGTCATTTAGAAAATCACAGGAAAGTAGGAAGAGCTGGACAGTTTTTTTCAACTTACTTTGTAACTATTCATCGACACCCTCATCCATGGCCCAATCTCAAGGATCGAACCTATTACTTTCAGGTGAAGTGGTTGGTTGGATGACCATTGAACCACTAAGACTGAGTCTAATGACTCGGCATTAACTTGATGTTTACTAGTGACGACCACAGAATGGAATCAACTGGAGTTTTGTTTAGAAGATCTGACCAGCAGCTTCCACCCGGTCGGGCGTGAGGATGAATACTCGATGCTGATATTGGCTGCCGGTCAAGCTAAAATCACGTAGTGGTAATGCAACAGCAGAAGGCAAGATACGAAAGCAGAGATACATTTTTCATTCATCAAACCACTATATATATATATATATATATATATATATATATTGTATATATATACAATTCTGTTGCTAATGCAGTGCTGAACTGTGGAAATAGTATTCAGACGTTAACACCATCAAATAGAATTATTATTACTGTCAGAATAATATTCCATTGGGACACACTTCATCACAGCACCACAGTGGCAAATGGAATTCATGAGCCAGTGTATAGGCTCTCAGTGGCTGAATGGTATACGAGCTGGCCTGGTAACTGGAAGCTCCTGGGTTCGGACTCCAGTGGGTGCCTACTGGTGAGGAGTCCCAAACTAGGACGAAACAGCTGTTCAATTGCAACTGTATTTCAACTTAGATTTCTTCAGGACAAGATACAAGTTGGAAAACTTTCGAAAACACAACAGTATTGCATAGTGTGTTCATCCTAGTTAGGTAGTCTTCAGTAGAGCATACCTGTCAGCCACCAGGAGCTGAACACGCCCTCTTTAGTCTACATGACCAGGCCTTTGACCAATTACTCAGTGGACAGAAATTCTAACTTCTGTCAGTCCGCTTCATTATTTGAATTATTTTTCATAACCTTCTGCTTGACAATAATGATAACTAAATGTGTTTTACTTATAATACTGACAGGCATTCATTATAATAGGCTTATTATTATGGTTGATTGGTATTCTCGTCATTGGTTTGATTTGCTATCGTCGGCGACGTAATCAGAAGGCATCAGTACGTAAAACGTGAGTAATGCTTATATATAATGCTTTCTATGTAGCGTGTAATATTTCTCTATGTTTCTCCCCGCTATGGTACTGAATCTGTCATCTTACCACCTACATTATTATGTTGAGAGGGCCCAGACAATCTGAAGTCCTGTTTGCAGTCTAATGTCGAAATACTCAGTGTTTTAAACTAGTTATAGTACCCAGTATCCCGAAGCACTTCATTCAGTGTTTAGCCGTTGAAGGAAATAGTAAAAAGACCTTCAATGTGGAGTCTTCGATCCTAACTGACCAGCTCTTAAGACTGAAATGTTACTAAATCTGCCGTCTTCATTTAAATAGTAAGTTGTTGGTGATCCAAACATATCAGTATCATTAGGGTATTTCACGAATCTTAAAGCATAGGGAATAATAAACAGACGGTTTCAGCGAAGAACATTGATGAATTGTCGGCGTTTCTCTTGAGATGGACGCCGAGGAAGTGGAACATTCCATCGAATTCAGCTTCAAGAGTAAAGTCAGTGTTGTTGTGGGCAGTGTTGAAGGTATGAAGTAGGTTTCCAGGGTCCACATTCTCAACGCAAATCATGCAAGTATCATTAGTTTACCTCCTGTAAAGTAGGAGCTCAATGATAGTCGATGACATGAAGTTGTTTTTGAGGTTGGCCAAAAAAAGTCGGCCAAAAGGGGTTTCAGTAGAGAGCTCATTTCTACGCCATATGTTTACCTGTAGATTTCGTCGATCAATCTGAAGTAGACATAGAAGGTACAACAAAGTATCAGCTTCTTTAGGTAATGGATCCGTATGCCAACATCTGTCAGTTTACTTGCTCGTGTGAAGCTGAACACATCGGCCATACCATGCGCCAACTTAAAAAACGCGCTCGTGAACACTATCCAGCCTGGCTAGTGAAAGGAGAATGAAAATGTATACATAGTTCAGTGACAGAACATCTGATCAACTCAGGACATTAAGCAACTTTCACATCCTTCAAAATCATACACATGATTTGTTCAAACCTATCAAAGGGAGTAAAATCAAGACATCTGGACTTAGCCGAGGGACTAATCATCCAAAAACTCAAACCTAGGCTAAGTATCCAAAAGAAATACCCTTGTCCTGCCATGGCCGTCATAAGCAGGTAATTCTCTTAATATTGACTATGTCATTACCTTTCTTATCCAAACTTCCTGTTTATTCACGTTATTCTTAAGTTTTTCTTAATCCCTATTTACTCTACCATATTTTCATATCCGAACTTCCTGTCCATTTTATCATTTCATTACTTCTACATATTTAATCCCTAATTGCATAAGCAACTATTCGTCACATTAGTTATGATCCCACTAGGTTTTTTATCCAACCATCCTCTCTATCTTGTTATTTGTACATTTCTAACCCCTAAATGAACAATATGTCAATCTTCTCAGTAATTCTGATGCTACTTTGTTTGAGTTTAAAACGCAAGTAGATGACTACTCATCTAAAGCGAATTTGGATTCAAAAATATGTGTTCATCAGTTTTGTGAGGAGTGCTGTGTCATAAAAATCTAGTGACTGCTGGAAATTTATGATCACTATTCATCACTTTAGTTCTGAATGAATCACGGGCCGTTGAGGACAATTCTCTATTGAACTCGGTGGTCTGAAATCATTTTACATGACTAGATGACTGCGCAAAAACTTCCATTGCCACTTCTTATCATCTCTTCCAGATCGATCTCCAACATCCAACTCGTTGCTTCTATTCGACCTCCGCTAATGAGCTTGACGCGTAATGTTATTCGGCAGCCACTTCACTACATCAACATGCCCTTCTACATATATGCTGAACAGCAGTTTCCTTGCTGGTCCACTACACTGCCAGACTTCCACTTCAGAGTCCAGCGAGATGGGCGCATAATGATGAAGGTCTTCTGTGACCTCCAGAAAATTTTTCTAGTGACGCGCGAAGTCCTTGAATCATATTGAAGAACTGATTTGACATTGGTATTACAATATGAGTCATTCTTCCCTGTGATAAGTGCGTGCTATAAATTTAATCGATTTCGGAGAAAACTTTGTGTACTAAATAGCAATCTAATCTGTCTGAAATTCAAAGTAAACCCTCGTATTCCTCATCGCTTTTCAAGCCCTCAGTGTTCTACTGAAGATACCTTTCATCTTAGCCAGCTTAGTAATTAATTCTTATAAAATCTTCACTATGGATTAATACAGTCAGGAAAACTATGAAAACTGTGAAAAGGGATTGATAGTTTGGTTAATAAAATGGATTCCATTAATTCATGTATTCATGGAAATATTAAAGACTATTAGATGAAGCTTCTGAAAGTTCTCATTGAAACATACTTTTGAGTTAATTGATTGTCTTGATAACGCTGATATAAAGGACAAAACCATGTTTTCCCTAGACATTGATTCTTTATTTACAAATGTACCTCTTTTACGGACGTTTGATATTTTCTGTAATTACATCTCTGACAACGATTTCCTATCATCAGTATCCATATCTTATTTAAAAGAGTTACTGCTTCCATGTACTAACAATGTTAAGTTTACATTTGAGGGCGAGCATTATCGCCAATCGATGGCGTTGCTATGGGAAGCCTCCCAGGTCTATTGTTAGCTGATATATATGTCACATGTTGAGAACCTAGTGGAGGAAGAAATCGTAAAAGTTAATTTTTATAAGAGATATGTAGATGACATAAAAGTCATTTGTGATAAACCGACAGATGTAATAGAAATCTTGAACCAGATCAACAGAGTGCAAAACAGTATATCGCTAACATGTGTTAAAGAGGATAATGGTTGTCTGCCATTTTTAGATGTACTCATAACCCTCTTAGAAGATGGGTCAATAAAACAATCTGTCTACAGAGAGTCCACATTATCGGGACAGTATCTAAATTATCATACCTTCTGCCCACTACAGTATGGAAAGGCGCTGATTAAGTCTTTGTTCAAGCGCATTTACTGTATATGTACTGCCGATACAAGTGAGGAAGAAAGACAGCACCTCACTGAAATATTTTTAGATAAGAATTACCCACTGAGATTTATTAGGCGTTAGGGGAGTGTCGATCATAGAACTTTACCGGTCTAGTCAGCTTCTAAAAAGGATGTTTATATTTCTTTCCCATTCAGAGGTGATCGACAAAGTCTGGTCACTAGACAAAGATTCAAGGCAGCAATTAATAGAACTTATTATGCAGCTAAACTTCATAGAGAAAACAAGAACTATGCTGTCCTGTGAACCCTGGAATTATCCAAACGATAGTGTAACATCCCACTGTGTTTATCAATTAACATGTATGTGTGGAGGCACGTGCATAAGGAGGACCCATTGGTCTCTGCAGGTTAGAGCTACAGAACACATTTCAAAGTGGCTGCAACAACAAATAAAATCTCCAGACACAAATGACCCCGGAAATAAATGTCTAACATCATCTATAACGAAGCACATTATGGAGACGGGTCATAAGTTTGATTTCAGCAATGCCTTGAAGCCCATATCTGAAACAAGGTTAGGTCACATACTTAAGTTCATTGAAGCCTTAGCCATAAAAAGACTTAAACCTGTCTTATGTGTCCAGAAATTATTTGTTATTACGTTAAACTTTCCTTGGTAATCCAATTCAGAACCAAGGACTAATTTACTTCACAATATTTTCAATTTCTTCTTTGCTTTGTTTCTTCTCCTTTTATCTTTCTTACCCACACATTTGCGTCTCCCTACCCATTATTTGTGACCTTGACCTGTACACAATCTGGCCTGTATTGTAATTATTCACGGCTTCTTGGCTTCTATAAAAGCTGTGTATGACAAGTACATGTGTGATCAGAATGTCCGAAATGTGTTACGCCAATGCATTGCGCGTTTCAGATTACCTAGGTCTTCTTACTATGTTATCGAAGAACTTGATTAGTTGGTCCGTTAAACAGAAATCGTTGAGGTCTTCCTTTTCAGTTCAGTTGATCACTAGTTAACTCCACCGATTCAACGATATACCCAACTATCAGACGTCTGTTAGCATAAGCTGAAAGAGGCATTTTGAATACAATGACTACTCTAGATAGATTTGAAGTGTGTCTATGTCCAAGAACATATAAATCAATAAAGAGATCTGTTTTCGTAACTTCACGTTAAACCTGTACAGTTGTTCAGCTGGTTATGTGTATAATGTTAATTACCATCAATAATCAGGGTTTAATGTTATTTAGTACTAGAAATATAATAAAGTGCATGAGAATTATCGGTGTGGGAAAAATAATGAATTATCCTATGTAATGGAGAAAGTTACACTGTAACCACTGAACACAAAAACGTTTGCCAACGGAATTATTTACTGGCAACTAGATGTGAAGACAGGCAAAATACGTTTAACATATACACAATTTGCACATGTCTTCATTATTGTATTTCTTTGCCTATCTTTCATGTTTTCCCATGAAGGTTTGCAAGCATCGTTTATTTCTTCTCTTCGCTATGAAACCTACCTCTCTGCTCTTCGATATTCTAATAGATCACACACCAATTTATGTGTGTAGATATAAACTACTTATAAATCTTGTCAGTAGCACACGTTACAACACTAAATAAATAAGTAACGAATGATATTTGCGGATAATTGAAAATAATAACAGGAACCCAAAGAATTGAAAGTGGGCCATGAAAAGGTTACGTGAAATTAGCTACCTGAAAAATTGAGAAACGAGAATTGAGATCAATGCAAAGGCAGTAAAATAAGGTTGATACAACGTTTCCTTATGGATGGAAACAGATTTGACGGCAAAAAGAAAATGGCAGCGAAATCCTTTTGAACGGTTTAGTACAACTTTATAAATCACCCCGAATGAAGTTCCTGCTTATGCTACATGCTAAGAAACAATAATGTGCTCCGAGATCGAAGTGTCGACTCTCCTAATTTCTTCTTTCAACAAGCATGTTAGTAAGTATTCATGCGCGAATCAGCAAAATGTTTCTTCGGTAGGATCCACGCAATTTACTCCAAGAGGGCCGAAACATGTTAAATACAACTTGTCCTTGACGTTTTGATCAACAAAAGTATGTGGTAAGAGGGAAAGGCACAGAAATCCATCAAAAAAGTAGGTTGAATCTCTCTTGATTAGTTACATCCTTTTTGAATTTCATCCAGGTTCCAAGGAACATTGGTTTTACTCATAATAATCTTATGAAAATTGTTTTAAGTAATCAAATCTTCAGGTTAAAAATTGAAAGTATTTTATGTAATATTTTTGTATTAATTTTTAGCGCTTTATGGACAAATATCAGCTATGAACCAAGCTCACATCCAACTCAATGTTTATCATCAACGGAATACTTCTTACCACAACATGAAAATGAAAATTATCATAATACAATAAAATTTTCACCAAACAATAATACTTTTCATAATTCATTAAGAAAAACTTCACCAAAAAGTGCACTGAGAAATTCATCTACTTTACCAAGACTTCCAAATAATGAACATTTTCAACGTCGATCAGTACGTTATACACGTCCATCAAATGAAATGTCTAGATTACGGTTTGGGACAATCTCTTACACCCCAGTAACTAGTCCTTCACTTTCAATGTACACTCAACGTTCTACTTTATCACCATCTGAAAGTTGTCTACCAATAGCGGATACTTATGAAGAATTAACTTGTTGTTTAAATGATCATGCAAATTGGAAGAGCAATCAAGAAACACCTAAATTAACAACTTTTCAATAATTGTCAGTGTGTTCAATGTCTAACTTGTCACCTTCAGTGGTATTTAACAATTCTTCAGATGAATTATTGGTGGTACTAGAGAGGGATACATCTATTTACACTTCTAGGTTTTAAGTACAACCCGTTATTGTATAAAACTACTTTTCTTCTATGTTATTATTAGCTTGAATAAAACTCATCATTTCTCCTGAATTATGGCTTTTGTTTATAAAAGGTACTTGAAACTTACGCCTGAGTAGTATATGTTAGTAGGGAAAGGAGAATCAAATGTGTTTTCGACCAGCCTCATACATCAATGTTTAAACTCTTCACTGTATTATTATACCAAGTGATATGTTATTCTGATCAAAAAGAACCTCCTAAGCCTTTCATTGGACGTTTGTTTGAAGTATTAACTAGCCATAATCCTGAACTTAATCATGTTCCGCTGCTGTGTTCATGTTCCACAGATTGTTAAGCGTTAAACAACATTCACTCAAAGTGTTTTATTTATGTACAATATAGAAATACTGTATAAGTTGAAATTTAGACACCCGAAAGATATGAACAAACCAGTGATTTAGGAATGTTCAATCGCAGCAAGATAGGAGACCAGGTGAATGACAATAAAAAATGTCTGATGAAGTGTAGTGATATCAAATAAGATATCTGATTGGCCTTAGCTTAGGTAGGGTAAGGTTGATGTTAGTTTTCGATTATGGGAAGTTTGGGATCACGTTAAGCATAGATTAGGTTAGGGATAGATTAGGGTTACAGTTTAGTTAGCTGATAAAATATACCTTTCAACGCCATGGCTGCTTCTTAGGTCATTGGCACTTTAGGATGGATGTCTCAAGTTCAAATTTGCCGAAATATCAGTTGCTATCTTCCCACTGGGACTTCTGTCGTCACCACTGAATAATTGAGGATATTGGATACATATTACGTTTCACCTTAGGGAATGAAACATGATAAAAAAAGCAATTCTAGTTGGAATTTGATCTGACCGTAACAGCGTATTGCAAGAAGATAAAAATGTCCCAAAGAGAGCATGATCTTCTATGAGATTCATTTACCTGGTCGACTATGAGATCTTTGGGAGATGCAGACACCGAAAAATATAGAAGGTGCGATGACTCAGTAGCATGCGTGCATAGTTCTCCAGCTTCCAAACAAACTTATTCTAATCTGATCAAAGAACAATTAGTGAAACAGCACAGTGAAAAAGAAAGACCATCCAAAATATAATGTACGTTTCGCCATAGATTCTCCAGAGTAGTGATGCGCGTTTAACTACAAGAATAAACGACAGCATGTCAAGTGGCGTGGATGCTTGACGAGGTACTTTCGGCTTAATTGATACACTTAAACAGTGATGATGACAGTTGTAGTCTTAAAGCCACAGGAAATTACTTACCTCTACAGTTTTAATTCTCTGCATACATTTAAAGCACTAAGTAAGGAGTTTTATTGTCAAGAGGTGAATTTTTTAACTTTTGAAAAATTTACAAACGTGTTTTTCAGTTTGCGGATATTATAAATATCAAAAACAGTATCTACTTACAGAATGCGATATAATAAAACATGAAGTTATGAGGATGATATAGTCAAAGTGATTTGAAAATGATAATATGAAATAAAAAAAAGAAAATGAATAAGATAATGTGATACTTTAATAGCGATAAAGCACAAGCAGCTAATTTGTTAGTTTTGTGTCTACATTTGTATGTCTACTTGGTCGTCTACATTTTCACGTAACGCAGATACTGGTATTTAGTAACTTAGTATATGCTTACAGTGTTCTTCGTGTTTCTTCCAATCTAGTTCAACTGTATTGAAACTTAGGTAAGGGTATGGGTTGGCAGCCATTCTTTGTCTCAGAGTTACTGTGCACTACACCCTGCCGTAACTTAACGCCCTTATAAATGGATCGTAAGCCTATGACAGACATCTAGAGAATTCAGTTTCGTGTTTTATTATTGTCTATTTACTACTGTAGTTTACTTTCCCTTTGTAGTTGGACATATAATTTTAAGTGTCTTACTCTAGACTGACTGCACTTTAACTTCAATGATTTGGAAAAGGCCTTCGACAGACGGCATTGACTGACAAGTAATTGGTAAACCAATTCAACATTACAATGTGCAGTGCTCAAATCAGTATCAGCCTTATTCAACAACTGGTTATACGACAGTGCCACTTGTCAGGTGATGCACAGTGGAAAACCCAGTGAGGCGTTCAAAATGAATACAAGAGTAAAACAAGGCTGTCCAGCATCACCGATGATATTCTTAACTATGAAGGACTGGACTATGCATGAGGCTGTGAACAGGGAGTGGAAAGAGAAAAGTACGCCGGACCACCGATAATTAGACTCTAGAAGATCTGTATTTATGAGATAATGTATGTCTAATATCACAGAAACTCGAAGAATGGCAAACATTCGTAGACTTGTATTGGAATTCTTCTTCCACCCAAAAATGTGCTTTTTGCTTATCTCTTTTCCTGAAACTCTACATATGTGTTTTAAATTTTATTCACCTAAATACAGTATTTCATTCAGGACTAAGGAAATCGCATGTTGTGTAGTTCTGATTTGTTGTCATTGACGATGTTACTTCGTTTCTAAATTGGTGAACTTACCTCAATCAGTTCACTCAGCGACCGTCATGTGGCGACGTAGTATACTTGGTCATATCACTGTAGATTTATTAGGAAAATGTTTAATTCGTGTTTATAGCGCCTAATATAGTTTTATATAGTTATGGAAGACGACCCGACGGAACCGTAAGATGATGACTTCATTGAAAACTAACTTGGAACGCCCAACGAACCAGTTTATACAGTTGGGTGCACCATAGAACGAAAACGAAACCTGATCAAACACCTCACCGTTCGGGTCCAACTTATCTGCTGTCCTGACACCCTGGGAGCAGAACTGCAAGAACCCCGCCATTACAATGGGACACCCACCAAGATTCAGCGTCAAGAATATCAGACCGAAATTCCCGAGAAACGAAACATTACTTTTTTCAAAAACGAAACTCCCCATCAACCTTCATTTGAAAGTAGATTTGTCTTGCAATATTCTAAAAGAAAAATTCAGTATGTTTGAGAAGAACATTCCTCGTATTAACTCTTAGAGCAGTGTTCTCCACCCGTTTATTAGTATGCAGAAGCCTTAAGCAAAAGATGTCGCATCTAATTAGTTCTTCATTCATATATCAGTTTACCTGTTGCTGTACAGCCAAGCACATTTGTCGTTCATTGTGTAAAATGCCCAAAAAGACTCGAGGGCACAATCCTACATGGCTGCAAGAAAGGTAATAGTGGTCGTGTGAGTAGTGTGTTAATCGAATACTGATCATTCCATGTCATCAAACGCCTCCTTCAAAGTGACCTACAAAGTGAAGGATAACCTAAAAAAATTAATACGCTTTCATTTCCACTGTATTGCTGAGGCTATAGCCATCCAGTTGGAAAAACCAGAGTTATGTATACAAAAGAAAGTCATACAACCACTTCTATGAACATGGCGACAATCACGGTGACGTCAAATGACTTGATTGTCGTGTGCTGGCTTTGTTAACTCCTTATAACTCTTGTAGTTCTTTACAACGCCTACAAAATTCCATATTTTTCCTTCTTTTCTATGTACATCTTAATCAAAACCCAATCATTAAAATATCCAACTTTTTACGCAACCACAATACTTTTATTCTACTCCTCGTATGCACTAACTCAGCACCGAATCCTCACAATCATTTTCACTCTCCCAGCTGCAGTTTGATTATTCATCACACAATCTGAAATATCCTGATGACGTAAGCAACAAAACCAACTAACTGTAATTCTTGTCTCACAAAGCTAATGTACACACAAATAAAAAATTATTTGTAAATAAGTGTGTAGAAGTTCGAAACTGTGGTAGTATGTAGTTCCACATCACTTTGATTGGACACTGGTAACTAGTGTGCTGTGTCTAGTCGTTTACTTGGTGCATACTGAATTCTTTCAGTCAGGTTTGCAACATGTCCACCATTCTAGGTAGCTCGCTTCGAACCATCTAACTTCGACAATTCAAAGTGCACCGTGATGGAGAGCTGGCTAAAATGGTGGCTGCATTACAAACCTGACTGGCGGAATTTAGTCTGCACCAAACAAAGAACTAGACATATTACACACGTTATAAACTACTGTCTAATCAAGGTTTCCAATACAGTCCTACAGGAGGTCAATCGCGACCACGAATAGATTAGTGGTAAAGTATCTGACTGCAGTACTCACAGAGTGACGCGAGTTTGAATCTCATGAAGGACATGATATCCTTCAACATTGCAGAAACGCCTTACCAACTAGCTCGAAACTTAGGTCCGAGGCTCCCTACAGATTTCCTCGAATCATCTATTAATTCCACAATAATTTGTTCACCATATATGTCACACAGTGAAAGAGTATTATTTACTGGATAACCGAGTTCTGAACACAATTTATTGTTCATAATCATATCAAAGACATGGTTTGCTTTATTCTTTCCTTTTCTTCATAAGGGGAATAAAATTTTTCACATGTCTTAGATAGGTGCTGAATCATTACACGTATTTGCAGCTGATTCGATAAGTAAAGTTTCCATTACCAACCTCTCCCTCCACCCTGTTACATTAGATTTGCAAACTGCCATCTCCTCTCATCCTGCTGTATGATGGTGTGAAATTGCATGTAGTGCCATAGCTGAAGTATTCTCCGGATTTCTGATCTTTTTGCTGCGATTGAGTAACCTAGAATTGACAAGGGTCTTGTGCTTCGCTAGTTGGACTGCCCCTGTTCTACTACTTTAACCCAAGTATTTGATCTGACAATTATTCCAGCAGGGTTTTAGATAAACTAAATTGTTTCGTTTTATTGCCTCCATAGGATCCTTCAATCGACAAAGCATGTTTTGAATTGAGTTTGTGTGTTTGAGCACAACTTCTTTTCCTGCAATTGTTAGGAATTCTCTTTAAGGTTTGCGAGGTTCGCTCTTTGTATTGAAGTACCACTCATTGTTTATATTTGCTATTGTTGGTGTTGTCATTAATCTGTGGTTGTTTGACATGCTTGTCGTCAATCGAATTTTTTTTGTCAACATTAATATAAATTTTTACATTTCCGCCGTACTTCCTGATTAATTTATCAGGGTAGTTATTAAGTTTCAAAGCTTCTCCCATAT